CCCCAAAACCCCAAAACCCCAAAACCCCAAAACCCCAAAACCCCAATCGGCTTAAAGAGAGTGAAACTATTAAAATTAATAAATAAACATTACAAAATGGTAAAAGCCTACTTAAGATATGTGCAAGATGATGTGCTTAATTGCCTTGTGGGAAAGCATGCTCCCATTATCCACACCACTTACAAAGACAGTAATCTTTATGTCATAATTTTATAGGCAATTTAATCATTGCAGCATGAAATGAAGTTATTAACATTATTGATGTTAATACAGCCCAGGTTATTAAGAAGTTCTATGACGACCAGTTTGGGTATGTTACATCCATGTCTCTTTATGACAACTTCACCAACCTCAGAGGAAGGCTCCTAGCAGTTGGATTTTCAACAGGGCATGTTCTTGTCTATGATTTTGACCATTTAATGCAAGAAAACTCAGGAACTCAGAATGTCGAGTTTTTGCATAAATTTAATTTGCATAAAAATAGTGTAGCATCTTTAGCTTTTGATAAGACTGGATCAATGCTAGCGAGTGGAGGCTTCGATACCTATATTATCATCTATGACATCGTTGATGGAGCTTCACTCTACAAGTTATTGGGGCATAAGGACATAGTTACTCAGCTACAGTTCAATTCTTTCTCATATTTGAAGTCTGACAAGAGTATTGACCAGGAAGAAAGAATTATTCAATCTAAGAAATCCAGGAGGCATACTGATATGCTTATCTCATCCTCTAAAGATGCATCCATCAAGGTCTGGGATTTAGAGTCCCAATTCTGTGCTCAAAGTATTATGGACACGAATTTGAAGATTAATTGCTTCTCAATTATTGCTAACCTGTTGATCACAGGTTCTGAAGACGAGAATTTAAGAGTGTACAAGTGTGGAATAAAGCAAGAAGTGGACCAGAATGGGCACTCCTATCTCAGTTATGCTGAATTTATCGGTCAAATTGCTAAGAATTCAGGGGAGAAGACTGTTGAGATATCGCTGTCACCTGATAATAAATTCATCTTGGTGACTTCAGCCCATGGTCAATTAGATGTCCTAAAGATGAACACAGAGAAAGATATTTATAAAAAGCTGCTTAGAGCTGAGAAGAGAATGGCAAGGAAGAGAACTCATTCAGAAATGGAAGAAAAGGACGCAGAGGAATCGAAAGCTGTTATAAAAGTTAAAGTTGATAAGGAAAAAATAAAAGAAAGAGTAGTTGATGGAGATTTTGAAGTCAAATATTTGTTCAGCAATTCACACTCATTAGAGATCCCCACTTGCAAAGTAAGAAGTACCCAAGTATTTCCTCATAAGAAGAGCTATATGATTATATCTTCTTTGCATTCAAATGATTTGCTTGCTTACTCTTTAAATATTGATGCTGAAACTGGTACTGTCAGTAGCAAGAAATTATTTAACATTGGGCAGAATTGTCATAGGGGTCCTTTGAGATGTGTCACTATGTCTGACAATGATTCTGTATTCGCCACTTCCTCTATGGATTCTGTTAAAGTTTGGAATGTTGAAGATAAGGTCTGCACAAAATCAATCGATTGTCCTAATGTAGTATCGATGGTCCTTCTCCCACCGAACAAGCACCTTTTGCTTGGAACAAAGACTGGAGACTTATTGCTATACACGATTGCATCAAACGAATGCATCCAGACTATTTCTGCTCATAAAGCTGAAATTTGGGGCCTAGATGTGACCATGAACCCTGCAATTATGGATTCAGACATTCTGATCGTTTCTGCAAGTGCTGATAAGACTATCAAGTTGTGGAATTTAGATATTGTGGAGGATGAAGAAACAAAAAGTAACCAATTGCAATTATCTATGGTTGAAGAAATAGAGTCAACTGACGAAGTTATGGGAGTCAAATTCTCCCCAGATGGAAAGTTCATCTGATTTTCCTTACTCGACTCTACAATTAAGATAATTTATGTTGATTCCAAGAAGCTTTATTTATCACTATATGGCCACAATCTGCCAGTTTTATCATTTGATATTTCAAGTGACAGCAATTTGTTAGTTTCTGCATCTGCTGATAAAAACATAAGGCTATGGGGAATGGACTTTGGAGATTGTCACAAGTCAATCTTCTGCCATGATGACTCAATTACAACAGTAAAATTCGTGAGAGACACGCATTATTTCTTCACTGGGTCAAAGGATAATACTGTGAAGTACTACGATGGAGATACTTACGATGAAATTCAAATCTTTGAACAAAACTTTGGATATGTTTGGGGACTCGAAGTATCCTATATTGGAGACCAAGTTATTTCAATCTCTGCTGATTCATCAATTAGAGTTTATAGACAAACCAAACAACAACTTTTCCTCGATGAAGAGAGAGAAAAGAGGTTAGAGAGACTTATGCTTGAAGAAGGAGATATTCAGATGATGACTCTCAAGCCTCCCGCTTTAGATCAATTTGCAAAGGATAAGGTTATGAAGATTGAATCTGAGCAAGCCTTAAAAGGTTCAATTGAGTCTATTAAGTATGGAGAGGATTTAATGGAAGCTATTAATCAATCTGAAAACTTTAGGCAAAGCTGTATCGCATACAAATCAGAACTTGACAGATACCATGAGACTATTAAGAAGAATAAATCTTTAGCAAAATCAATAGAGAAGCCGATCAAGCCTAAGCCTGACTATATCTTTGAAGGTAAGAACATCTTTGAGCATGTTCTTACTCATGTGAAAAAAATAAGAAGATCTGAGCTTGAGAACTCATTAAAATTCTTAAATTTTACAATCATTAAGAAGATGATGTACTACATTGAGTACTACATTAGAAATGGAGTAGAAGTAGAACTTATCACTAAAGTTCTCATCTTTTTCATTCTTGGGTATAAAGCTCAGATTTATGGATGTGAGGAACTTAAACTGCTCATGACTTCGATATACTATCACTTGAGCAGAAACCTAAAGATGTTTAAAGAGAGAATTGGAATAAATCAAAGCGCAGTCAAAAATGCCATCCATTTGATCAACAAAGGAATGTTATCTTTTGATGAAACAGATATTAATGATACACTAGATAGACAGCCTCTTGCTGAAAGTGCAGCCCTTTAAAATGCTAACCAATAATTCTATGTTGAGTCATTTAACTAAATTTGGATGTTAGTTTCATGAAGACCAGCAATGTTCAATAAAATTAGGTTTTCATGGGGTTTTGGGGTTTTGGGGTTTTGGGGTTTTGGGG